TCTCTCCCTCTCTTCCTTCCTTCCTTTCCACAGGGTCTTGTAGCCCTGGGTGTCCTGGAGCTCACTTATGTAGTCCAGGCTGGCCTTGAACTCACAGAGATCCACCTGCCTCTGCCAAGTGTTGGGATTAAAGGCATGCACCACCGCACCCAGCCTCTATAGGATCTTACTATGTAGCTCAGGATGTTTTCCAGCACACAATCCTCCTGCCTCAGCTTCCTGAGTGCTAGGATTACAGATGTATACTACCACCCTCAGTTTCAACAGCCTTTTTCTCTCTCACACACAAAACATTCATTTATTCTCTTTCTCTCCCTCTTTCCGTCTCTTTCTGTCCTTCCATTCTTACTCATGTGTCTTTCTCTTTCTCTCCAGCCAAATCTGCTTCTGTCCGTCTGTCTCTCTCTCTCTGCTGCTCTCTGCCACTCTCTTGCTGTCTCTCTCTCTCTCTTTCTCTGTTTCTCTCCCCCTCTGTCTCTTTCTCTCTGTCTCTGTCTCTGTGTGTGTGTCTCTCTCTCTGACATATCCATACATTCTAACATAAGTCTTCCATTCTCAGGAAGTGCCCATAGCCTGTCATTTTCCTAATGAGGGTACTGGGGTAGAAATGGTAGAAAGGGCAGGACAAGAAACCGCCTTTCTCTTGTGCACTGTTAAGCTCTTGGCTGGGGCTTCCATAACTCAAGAAGGATTTACAAGAAAGAGGCACGTACTTGCTCAAAGTGAGTTTTAAATGGCATAGGAGCTCAGGAGGAGGCGAAGACCTGAAGGAATGGCTTAGTTTGCATGGCATGCTTGGTGTAGAGAGGAGTGGAGAGTCCAGGACAATTCGGATGGACGCTAGAGCAGGAATCTCAGGGCAACAGTGCACACTGCTGCTTCTGATCCCTCGTGGTCCCCAGTGATGGAGCAGATAGGGTGCTGTGATGATATCTGTCCCTTCAGGGTCTTGGGACCTGCTGCATAGGGAATCCTTGCTGTACCCAGCATTGCCCAGTCCTTCAAACTTGATATGTTCAACAGACCAGGGCGCTACATTTAGGGGTTGCAGGTCTCGAATATTGTCTAGAGTATCTTGGAACCGTTGGGTAACAGGCTGTGGGATACAAAAGCAGGGAAGCTGAGGAGAAGACTGGCCTGAATCTGTAGGAGAGGCCCTTTCAGGGATGACTGTAGGTCTTTGGATATGAAGGGAGGAGGCTGGACATCGGGCTGCTTTAAGTTGTCTTTTTGTCTCAACATTGCCCTTGAGTTGCTTTGCTGGGCTGCACATTCCCTGCCCATAGCATTTCACAGCTTTTGAAGGTGAGACCTGGGTGGCAGCATTTATTTTGGAAGAACCTCAGACCTATAGAAAACTGATCAACCATGATGCAATGAGAGGCCACACACCCAGATGTATACGGGCAGTACAAATGGGACCTGATGGGTTAAAAAAAAAAAAGATATAAAGTGGGGTGGGCAGGAAAGTTAGGGAGGGGGAGGTGCAAAACATATTGTACAAAATTCTCAAAGAACTAATAAAGGATGAGTTCAAACGTTATAGGATGGAGTCCAAAACAACTTCCTGTTGCCTTTACCCAGATTTCCTGTTTATTCATTCTTTATCACATTTGTCTGAGGTTGGGAGAGGGAAGGAGACAGAATAGAGGGGCGAGGTTAAGTCTGTTTTCCCTAAATCTTCCAATATTTATTTCCCAAGAACAAGCCCGCTTACATTAATAACACGGTCACCCGATCAGAAAATTAATATTCAAGCAAACTCCACTATCCCGTTGAGCTACCTCTTCCATGCGGCTGTTTGTCTTGGTTTTGTGACCATTCCATGACA